GGCGGCCGCCGCCGCCACGGCCACAACCGCCCCCAAGATGGCTCCGCCAGCCAGCCACGGGGACCGAGCAGGAGGGGCTGTCGGCCCCATCGAGGAGAGCAGATCCCCGGCCGGAGGGGCCCCCGCCGGGCTACGATACACAGACCGAGCCAGTAGCTGGCTGGCTTGGTCCAGGGTTTCCGGCGACAGCCGAGGAAGCAGGCCGGCCGGGTGGTCGGCAGCCGCAGCCGACACCCGGGCCAAGACCGTGTCCTTCAAAGCAACCATCAGTCGCTCGGGCGCCGGCAGGAGGAGGCACGCCAGGGCCAGCGGGGCGCCGATTGGCATGGGCGATTCGAAGACCACCGCCTGACCACCCGCCAAAGGATCTTCGCGCCAAGCCTGAAGATCCTCCTCCCGTGTGGGAGAATCCGCCAGGTGGGCGACCATATGGAAGCATGTGTTGCGCATTTGACTCGCTGGAGCCGGAGGGGGGAGGGGCGGGGGAGATGGCGAGGAAAGAGGCAAAAAAGGCGGCGAGTGGAAGGGGAGGTGAAAGAGGGGGGGGGGGGGTCCGATCAGCAATATGAGGGGGGGGGGGACGGGGCCCATGCACAGGGACGACGAAAAGGGAAGGTGGGGCGAATACACGCACCGATGGGCTTGGAGACCGTGGCCGCCAGGAAGTGGGCACGGGCTTGGCCAACATCGCGCTCAAGCCCATCGACCCCGGCCTCGTAGATGGCGCCGGTCAGGATATGTGCGAGAGCCAGAAAGCGCCGGTGTTCACTGGCCATGCGGAGTACTGGCGACAGGGGCCCGGCTTCGGCCTCGCCGGTTTCGCCCTGTCGGGTGCATGCCTCGAGGAAGGGCAGGGCCCGGGCCGGGCTCGCCGGCAGGTGGGGGTGCCCTTGGAGGTGGAGCAGTCCCAAGGTCAGGCACGCCACCAGGCTACCACTGTCGGCGGCCACATCCAGTAGGGCCAGGAAGTCCTGAAATTCGGTCGCCGACATGTGGTCGCTGCTTTTGGTGAGGTCTCTCCGGAGCACAATGTCCAGGGCCCAAATGTGGCCCTGTATGTCGGCAGGCGGGGCGGGTGGATGCGCACGCAAACCGCAGTCGGGTGGCCAGCGGCCAAGACACAAGCAAATGCACGGGAGGCAGCGGGTGGCGGAGCGATGGGCAGGAATAAGTAGTGGGTGGCTAATGAGGAGAGGGAGAGGGAGAGAGGGAGAGAGATAAAAAAGAGGTGGAGGCAGGAAAGAAGGCAGGAGAATAAATTGTGGATATGGACCTGCATGGCGGCCAGATGCATGGACCTGCGCCCGGCCTTGGGGCCCCGACGTTTGGCATGGAGGTACCGCGAGTGTGGGTCGAGGGCCTGGTGAAGGGACGTTAGAACCGCCAGCAGCCGATGAAAGAAGAGGGCGAACGGGCGCGCGCGCGCTCGAGAGAGAGAGAGAGAGAGGGAGGGAGAGAGAGAGGGAGGGAGAGAGAGAGGGAGGGAGAGAGGGAGAGAGGGAGCGAGGGAGCGAGGGAGCGAGGGAGCGAGCGAGGGAGGAAGAGAGAGAGGGGGGGGAGAGAGAGGGGGGGGAGAGAGAGAGAGGGGGAGAGAGAGAGAGAGAGGGAGGGAGAGAGAGAGAGAGAGGGAGGGAGGGACGGAGATGGGGGCGAGTGGTAGGGCGGGAGCATGCCCCTCCGGGGCAGAGCGACGCACATTAGCCCGGCCTGGGATCAGGAGGACCGGCCAGTCGGCCGAGCCCTCGGTGATCAGCTCCAAGTAGAAGCTTGACAACAGACCGCCCGAGGACACGGACCACCGGCAGGCGCCGGCCTTGATGCGACTGAAAAGCGTGCCGAAGATGATCGGTTTCCCGGTGACAGTCACCGCCAGCTGGCGGCCATACACCAAGACCTGGATGTCGGCCTCGGTAAAAGGAAGTAGCGAATTGGCCCGGACCTGGATCAGACCCAACTCCGGGGTGCAGGTGAACTCGTAGGTGGGGCGGCTGGCGAAGGCGAAGCGCCTCAGGGACCGCGGCTTGGCCGTCTCTTCGTCGGGCATGCGCAGCGACGCCCAGGTGGGCAGGAGTCCGAGCTTGGCCAGTGGCTCCGACGACACGGTTACCCGGTGCAACATGGCGCTCGTGACGCCAGGCGGCCTTGCGCCGGCATCGAGAAAGGCCATCGTACGGGCTGCCTCCTGGGAGAAGTAGGCGTGGGGCGGACGGGGGCAGGGAGGGAGAGAGGGAGGGAGAGAGAGAGAGAGAGAGAGAGACCAAGGTGGGCCGGAGGGCCGAGACAGGAGGAGGAGGCAATCAAAGGGCAAGGATGACAGATCGGTGCGAGACTGTTCCATCACAACCAGGCGGGCTTTCTTTGGGTATCTCGATTGTTGCGCGCGAGCGCGATCTTCCAACGCAGCACGATCCCGGCATGGGCCCGTCACAACCCGCCCATCTAATTGGCCAGTGTGGCTGATCGTGGCCAAGGGGCGACAGGGGGCGGCGGTCGTCCCACGATTGGCACCCGGATCTAGATTGTCCATGGGCAGGCTATTTTTTTTTTTTGTTGCCTCGGGGCTGGGGAACAAAAGTGAGCATTGTACGGCGCCAGATGGATGGAACACGCGCCAACTACCACACGCCTTGACGACAAATAGCAAGCTCGTGGCGGGACCAGCCTCCTTCTCACTCCATCTCTCTCGCCCTTGCCATCTCTCCCCATCTCTTTCCATCCCCCTTGGCCTCCTTGTCGCTTGGGTTCTCTCCCCCTGCCCCCTGGTCTCTTCGGCCATCTGTTCATCTCCCCCTTTCGCCTTCTGTCCATGCGATCCGCGCCTCGCTACCAAGTACCCCCCCCCCGAGTTAGATCGCACGGACTCTGCAGCTGTGATGCAACACGCGCATCAGGCCCGGGCCCGGAAAGACAGCATACTAGCACACAGGGTATGACACAACCGGGCGCCGGACGGGCTCAAGCCTCATCGGCGATTATTTAGGGCAATCAGCACCCCGGTGGCCAGGGCCGCTGCGCTTAGCCCGAGCGCCGGCAGCACCATTGGCATGGACCACCAGGATGTCTTCCTGGACTGGTCATCCTCCACGCGGGTAAGGAAGAAAGACAGCCCCACTAGCCGGGGCTCATGCTCGACAATCGGGAAGACCGCATTGCTGAGCAAGCTTGATGCCACTTGAAGAAGCGTCGGCGACATCTGGCGAGCAAAGGTGTCGGGAAGATGGGCCGCCTCGGCGGCCACCCGGTCCAGAACACCCTCCTGTAGTGCAGCTCGTAGACGGGATGGGCATGGCAACAGCAGGCAGGCCGCGGCCAGGGGCGCCCCGATGGGCATTTTCTTGAGATACATCCAGACGTCGTCTTCCGGCGAGGCACTCACGAACCACATGAGCAGGAAAAGCAGCCGCCTGTCGGTCCCCTTCATATGCGTGAGGATGTGAAAGCATATATTGTGGAATTCCGGAGCTGGATCCATCGCCAGGGCGCAGGTGGGGAGGGACGGGGAGATATATGTATATATATATATACATATGTAGAGGCAGGGAGGAGGATGCTGGCACGGGTTAGCCAACCGGAGGGAAGATGCCGGCAAACAAACACATGAGAAGGAATCCTCCGGAAAAGAGCACGAACTGAGGAAATGCATTGTGGCCCGGATGAAATGCCCGGCCGCCTCGCTGACATTCCGCGGGCCGTCCACCCCAGCCTCATGGATGGCCCCGGCCAAGAAGTGTGCCAGTGCCATGAGGTTGGTGGCCGTGGTGGGCAGGTGGTAAAGTGGCTGTGTGGTACCGTCTGGCATGGTGACCCGCGGCACCCGATCCGTGTAGGCCTCCAACAGGGCCAGAGCGTAGCGAGGACTTGGCGACATGTGTGTGTGGCCCTGCAGGTACAGCAGGGCCATTGTCAGGCAGGCTTTATCGCAGCCCCCCTCGACCGCGACCGACAGGACCGCCCAATAGTCCCAGAACTCACGGGCAGACATTTCCCGATTGTGCGCGGTGGGGAAGGATAAGAGGAAGACGCGGATGGCCTTGGCATGGGCCTGTCTCACAAGAGGTGGCCAGCCCCGGTGAGGGGCGGTCAAGAAAGTGGGAAAGGTCAGCGGCAGCCCTGAGAGGGGGGAGGGGGGAGGGGGGGGGGAACTTCGCCCTTGCTTGTTCCCTGGCCCGGGGCAATGCGTGTCAGGTGTGGATGGCGATGTGCGAACCATCTTGGCTGCCGCGAGCATGGACAGTCGAGCCTCGGGGCCGGTTTGGGTAAGGGCCAGGAGATATCGCGAGTGGGCATCCATCGCCTGGGCAAGCAGCAGGACGAGCAGGCACGAGAGGAGCACATGCACACGAAGACACCAACACCCATGGTCGAGGGGGGCGGAGGGAGGCAATGAGGAAGGAGCAGGCGGGCGGGGGATGACAAAGGGGCGTCAGGGCGCGAAGGCCAATCGGACACACGGGCGGGCAGCCGGCGGATGTGGCGCACATTGTTGGGGCCCGGGGTCAGGAGGACCGGCCAGGAGATCGACCGAACGGTGCACAGCTCCACCAGGAGCACCGCGCCATCCAGGGAGCAGCATACCGACCAGCAGGAGTTGCGCGGGTGAATAGAGGCGAAGAGCGTGCCGAAGACAACGGGCGAATCACTCACCATGACAACCAACTGCCGGTCATGCAGCAAGACTGCCACATCCTCCTCGGTCAGGCCATCCTCCAGGGGCATGCGCATGGTTACAATACCCAGCTGGCATGCCTGTGAGAAGGAATACAAGTCGCCCTTGTCGGAGGGCCGGGCGCGGGGCAACTCCGGCGGGCCCTCCGTGGACGCACCCCCAAGATCGGCCTCCGCCGGGAAGAAGCCGAGGCTGGACAAGGGCACAGGGGACCGGGTGAGGGGGTGCAAATCCGGCAGGGCGCCCCTGAGCGGCATGTGGCAATGCCACTGCCGCATTAGAACACTGGCACTGTCGGTGGGAGCCTCCTCCTCCGGATAGTCAGGCAGGAAGTGCACCAACGGCGGCTCGCGGACTGGCGGCTCCAGGGAGGTGACTCGCTCCATGACGGCCGAGTGGATGTTGCTCAGGACCTTGGCGGGCATCTCATCGCACTCGATGTCACACTCCTGGATGTCGGGGGCCGCACCGGCGCCGGGGTCCTGCGTGTAGGGGACCTTGACGGCGCTCCCGGAGACCGGGGGCTCCGGGCTCGCACCGATGGCCGCCTGGCCTGCGGCAGCCATTTGCCCAACAAGCCAGGCCCATGGCAGGCGAAGTGGCGTGGCGGTCAGGATCTCGGCCGTCAGGTGGGACGCGATCGTCAGGAGGGGCGAGGTGTACCCGATGGCGAGGCGAGGGCACCGCCATGCTGCCCGAGTAACATGCCACGGCAAGAGAGCCAGACACTGGAGAAGAGAGCGAGGGAGAGAGAGAGAGAGAGAGAGAGGCAGGGAGGGCGTATAGAAGACAGGGTACAGGCGAGCTGGGAGAGAAGGGGGAACAATCGAGGGTACACTAGCGAAAGAGGGGGGGGGGGGGGGGGGGGAAGAGGCGCGACGCGCGCTTTTTGCCCCAATATTCGCCGGGCCGAGCGTGCCCAGGCAGGGCTCAGGGTATTTGGAACAATGCCCCTGCTCCCGAGGGGAGGCCAACCAAGCACCCAGGTCCCCGTGAGGTGGCGGAGGAGCCTCGGCCCGGGAAGAAAAGCCGGCCGCCAGGGAAAAGCGCGCCGACGGGTGGATACATTCGGCATCCGGCTCCGGTTGGCTGATCGTGCCGGAGGGGGAGCAGTGGGACGGCATCGGACAAGACGATTGTCCGGAAGCGCGTCCCAGGCTCCCGGAAGGTCCGTCCAAAGGCCCAGATCCCGATTCGGTCCTCTGTGCCTTTTCTTCGGCCTCTGTCTCTCTCGCTCGCTCTCCCTCTCTCGTCATCTTAACCGAGGAAAGGGGCAGGACGCCCGGGGTGCAAACACACTTTAACATTCGTGCATTCTTAATGGAATTTTCCGTATGGATTGGATCCCACCCACCCGGACATCCCGGGCCAGCCGACGCGCCTGTGCGTGGGAATTGTGGGCCACCGCGGGCGGAACGTGGGAAATCCGACCGAAAGGGCGGCACGACGCCACGGCTGTCGGAAATCATCGCCGCAGGCTTCAAGCAGAGTGGATGGGGTCTGGGTGCGCGCGCGTACGGTCGGGGATGGAGGGAAGAAGGACAATGTCTGGCGCGGGTCAATACTGTAGGGGAGGTAGATTGGTGACTGCGAGGCGGGGGGGGGGTCCCAGGGATCGGCATTTCCCGCTGGATTGGCCGCACCAAGAGGCAGGCAGCACGCATCCCCATACCCCCCCCCCTTATGCCCTCACGGGCAGGAGCCTCGCCTGCTGTTCAGAAGCAGAGGTCCCTGAAGATGGCTCTCGCCATGCACACATGCTCACCAAGCCAGGGAGCCATCACCCCGGGCAAATTCGTGAAACCCTGAACTCCATAATCGCCGGCAAGCGACCGCCCAAGGAGTGCGACCGAGCCTGATACCGCTCGAGGGCGCCACTTGTTTGTGCGCGCGTATGTGTTTGTGCGCGCGCGTATGTGTGCCACGGGCGGGTGGCCTCCCTGGGAGAAGCACACAGAGCCCAAAAGGTGGGCCTTGTGAACGCCTCGGCCAGCTTCGACAGGGGGTATGCTCGTGAGTGGCCTCTACTTTGGCCCTGGCCTCTGCCCATGGCTGTCTGACGTCACAATGGTCAAATGGCTCCCGGGGCCCGGAGGACAGGCGGGGACAGCGAGCCGGAAGCGCGAGCCTCGCGGAGAAAACAGGCTTGGGATTTGCCCGCCCCCCCCCCTCCCTCTCCTCTTCCCTAGCGAAGTAAGGCAAGGGTGCTGCTCCTATGTCTACGCGCAATTTCCCCAGTTATTCTTCGCAGCATCCGGTGGAGGGCTACCCTTTCTGTCGCGCCTCAGGGCCCGATCATTTTTGCCCAAACAAGAAGCAGCAACAACCTATCAAAGCGCTCTTCGGACTGAGGGGACACGGATCATGCGCATGCCAGGAGGCCACCCTCCCCATACAAGGGCCACATGGCTCGGGGTGTTCTTCATAGGGGAACTGCGGCGGTGATGACCTGGATCTTTTCGTGCCCGGTGTTCCAGTGCTTCCACCCGACACGCTACTGGAAGCCGGCAAAGGACATAAGATAGACGCCTGCCTCGGAGAGAAGGACTAACACGGGGCCTGTGGGGTATAGCTCCCGGCGGTGCTGTAGCACCGGCTTCGATTTCAGAACCCATCTGATCTCCACTCTTAATCGGACCACACCCCCGCCAGAGAGGGGCCTGGGGCACGACGTGTGGCTGCTGCCATCCAAGTGGCCCGGAAGCACCCGGCCCGGAGGCATTTGGCCCAGAGGCCTTTGGCCCGGAGGCATTTGGCCCTGGCCCTCCCATTGCCACATACACACACACACACACACACACACACACACACACACACACACACACACACACACACCCTTTAACTCCCCTGCCCTTTTCAAGCCAGAGGGGCATGCCCAGGCGTTCCTGTATTTGGAGCTGGCCTTGAATTTACGCGTCGCCACCACGTAAGGGAGGGCGCCGACAGAGGATGGGGACTCGGGCCTTTACAGGCCGCCAGCGCGCATATCACGTACGAGCAGTCTCACCATTCAAACACACCCACAGCAATCACCAGCAGAGAAAGAGAAAGAAAAAGAAAAAGAGAGAGAGAGAGAGAGAGAGAGAGAGATGATCGTGACTTGAGATCGGGGAAAATGCATGCGCCAATATTCACATACACATTCAGGTGGAAAGGTAAACTAAAAAGGTGTCTATATGGTGCGAGTCGGGGAGATAGCAAGAGGATGGGATATGTGGGCGGGCCCGGCATGCTGGCCCTTGTCCATGGGGATTTTGGCCGTGGTGCCTCTCCGGTTGCCGCGCCGACCCATGATGACACGGGCTCGCGTACATCCCCCCCCCCCCCTTCATCGCATCATCAGCGGCGGTTGCCCAGGGCGACCACAACACCAGCAGCCACGGCAGTGGCGGCGGCGGCAGCCACACCGATGACCGGCAGGGTCAACCACGAGGTCCAAGAGGCAGGCGACGGGAAGAAGACCGAATCCGCCGGCAGCTGCTGGCTCTTGGGGCTGCTGTACACCACATCCACCAGCGCCTGACGCACGATGGAGATCTCAGCCGGCGACATTTCGGGCAGAACCCCGGCCGGGGCCGCCTCCACCGCCTGGGCGATGGCCGACAGCTCCGGGAGATCGCGCAGCTTGTCCGCCGCCGGGAGCAGCAGGCAAGCCAGCTCCAGAGGCGTGCCCACCGGCATGGAGCCCTTTGCCTGCTTGGCATGTGCACCGACGACCGCCGAATCGCGCCAGATCTTGAAGTCCTCCTCACGGGAGGTGGACCCCTCGACGTGGGTGGCCATGTGGAAGCAGGCGTTCTGGAACTCGGCCACTGTGTGTAGGGTGCGCAGGGGGAGGGAGAGAGAGAGAGAGAGAGAGAAGGGGAAAGAGAAAGATCGGTGGTCAGAAAGCATGGCAAGGGGGAGAAATGAAAAATGCAAAGAACGGAAGGAAAAGGAAAAAGAGCAAGAGAGCAAGAGAGCAAGAGAGGGAGGGAAAACGGGAGGCACGAACCAGCGGGCCAGAGGGTGGCATCCTTGAAATGGGCACGCGCACGGTCGATGTCACGCTTGCCAGCAACACCGGCCTCGTGAATGGCGCCGGCGAAGAAGTGCGCCAGGGCCAGCGGATGCACGGTCTCCCGGGTGGCGCTGTCGAGCGTGGGCGTCTCCGTGGCGTTGGCCCGAGCAGGCATCTTCTCGGTGTAGGCCTCAAGCAGGAGGAGGGCCTTGGCGGGGTTGGCCTCCAGATAGGCATGGCCCTGGAGATGCAGCAGGCCCAGCGTCAAGCAGGCCTCGCCATCGCCATTGCGGGATGCCACCTTCAGCACATCCAGGAACCCCTGGAACTCAACAGCCGACATGCGGTCGCACCTGACGTCGGAGTACTTGAGGAGGTACAGCAGGATGGCCTGCTTGTGGCCCTGTGGATATGTGCGAAGGAGAAAGCAGACAGGGCGAGGGGGGAGGGGCGAGGGGAGAGGGGCGAGGGGCGAGGGGGGAGAAGGGACTGGGAGTCAGCGCGCAGAAAATCAGACAGGCAGGAGGACGCAAGAGGGAGATATATATATCAACGATATCAACGGGCGTGCACTGTGCACGGGGGTATGTATGTGAGCGAACCTGCTTGGCGGAGTTGACCAGGGTGTTGTGGCCCTCGTCCATGCCCTGCAGGCGGGCGAAGAGAAGCTGCGAGTGGGGGTCCATGGCCTGGAGGTAGGGAGAGAGGGGGAAGAAACGAGAGAAGGAGGTGGAGGAGGGGAGAGGGAGGGAAAGTGAGCGAAGGGTTGAAGGGACATGAGAAAAGACCGTGAAAGAAGAAACAGAGAGAAAGAGAAGAAGAAGAAGAAGAAGAAGAAGAAGAAGAGGGACAACATGAACATCGAGAGGGAGGTGGAGACACGCACACCAGTCTCACCCGGGACCAGGAAGGCCGGCCAGTCGGCCGGGCCGTCGGTGATCAGCTCGATGTACAGGCTGGTCAGCTGGCCGCGCGAGGACACAGACCAGCGGCAGGCCTCGGGCTTGATGTCGCCGAAGAGCGTGCCGAAGATGATCGGCGACGGGGTGTCGGCGATGGTGACCACCAACTCGCGCCCATGCACCAGAACCTGGACATCATCCTCGGTGAAGGGGAGCAGCGAAGTCGAGCGGACCTGGATGAGGTTCAGCTCACGAGTGAAGGTGAAGCTGTAAGTGGCCTCATGGGGGTAGGTGGGAACCAGATCGCCCAGGAGCTGGTCGTCAGCCGCCTCGAAGGGCGCCTGCCCACGGAGGGTAGACCAGCCGGGCATGAGGCCCCGGCTGGCCAGCGACTCCGAACACAGGGTAATCGGATTCAACTCACCGGCGGGCCGGGCATCAGGAGTGCTGTCAGCGATGGGCAGGCCCTTGTCGGCCACCACCTGGCCGGCGGAGGGCGAGGAGCAAAGGACCTCATCGGCATCGACGGAAGCGGCGGCCGGGGGGACATCATCCGACTGGATGAGGGCGGCGTCCTTGGCAACAAGCTCCTTCGTCAGAGTGGCAAGCAGATCAACCGCCTCCTCGGGAGACATGAAACCGTCGGCCGGGGAAGTGGAGAAAAGCTGGCCCGAGGCGGCCTCCTCGTTGGAGGCGGTAGCCTCCTCGGCCGTGGTCGTGGAAGAGCCAGGGGAAGCTGCAGTCAGCTCGGAGGGCATGGCAAAGACCGGGGCGGAATGCTCCCCGTCCTTGATGATCTCCTCCTGCGCAGCGGCAACCTCCTCGACGAGGGCAGCCAGCCTGGCGACGGCCAGCTCGTCAGAGAGATCCGCGATCGGGGTCTCGGGAGCCTCGGAGGCATCCTCGACGGCGGTCTCATTGATGGCCTCCTCGGTAGTCTCGACAATGGTGCCGACAATGGTGTCAATGATGTCATCGGCGACCTGCGCAAGGGCGGCCTCGACGGCGGCCTCGATGGCGGCCTCCTCCGCGGTGATGCCCTCAGCAGCAGCCTCAGCCTCGACAACCTCAGTGGCTTCCTCGACGGTGGCCTCGACGGTGGCCTCGACGGTGGCCGCGACGGTGGCCTCGACGGTGGCCTCGACGGTGGCCTCGACGGTGGCCTCGACGGTGGCCTCGACGGTGGCCTCGACGGTGGCCTCGACGACCTCCTCGACGACCTCCTCGACGACCTCCTCGACGACCTCCTCGACGACCTCCTCGACGACCTCCTCGACGACCTCAACAGTGGCCTCCTCGACGGTGGCCTCCTCGACGGTGGCCTCCTCGACGGTGGCCTCCTCGACGGTGGCCTCAACGACCTCCTCGACGACCTCCTCGGTGGCCTCGACGACCTCCTCGA